TTTGGGTTTTCCTATAGCAAAACATGGACACTGCCATTATATTCATATGGGAGGCGGGGGTATTATATTTAGTGAGTTCATTGCTCACAGTACCTCTAGTTTTTTTTTTCAGTTGCATAATTATACAAATTTAACAATGAAAGAAAAATTTCTCTTCTTTTCCTAGAGAAACCCAGAAACTGGAAATGGAAGTATTCTAGAATCAACAACTCCAAATTTTAGTCAAGGTTTGTTTATGCAATCTTTTTATGTAACTCATATTGCAGATTTATTAAGAAAACCTTTGTTTAAATGTTTATTTTAAAATCAAAGAACAAAATAGGCTATGCTATGGCCCCTGGATTGGGTCGTCTTCTCCAATGAATGAATCAGTAGTTCCTAATCAAAAACCCATTTCATTTTTCGTACAAAATATAAAGAAAATTGATTTTACGTGATGAGATTCACCACGAAATCACGGAAAAGCCATAAAATTTTTATTTTTTAATTTTTATTTAAATTTTATTCTTAAGAACCATGTTTTTTTTCCTTCTAAACACCGAGTCAAAATTTCTATTTTTCATATTTGTAAATATATTTTATGCAATTCATGTACTATAGTATACACCAGGGGCGTAGCTAGACGAAAATGATGTGCACGCCAAAAAAGGCAGGGGGTCTGGGGGCCGCCTTGAGGCCCCCGGAAGCTCCTGGGTTTTCACGTTTAGACTGAACAAAATTTACGGTATTTTTAAATATATAACGTATGCTACGAGATGGTCAACTTTGCGATATTTTGATTTATGACACCAAAAAATAATAGATCTATTGATATCTAAAAAATATTTATGTTGTTTTTTTGTTTTAATAAAATCAAGTGCATTGTCTGAATTTTTCAAGCGATGACAATCTGTCATTTCACATAGTGGAACGGACGTACGTTTTCAATCGCCGCAAAACGCTGAAGGACCTCTCTGCATTTGCGCTTGCTACCGGCATGGTTAGCAATATGAATAAAATGGACTCTATTGAGTATTGTTGGATATAGCGCTGAATTAATAGAATGTAATCATGCCAGGCATAGTAAGTTTACACGGAATTTTTAGGAATTTAATTTTTTATATGACGGTATGATCATTTTTTTAATAATAAATTTTATAAAAATGCACAGTAATTTTTTTTTGGACTAAAAGATGTGCACGCCATGGCGTGCTGGCGTATAGGCAGCTACGCCCCTGTACACTATTAGTATATCTTGTCTGTAAAAGTCTATAAGAAAGGCAAGTGGACCTTGTTCTTTATATTATCCAATCCGAGATCTTAAGTATCTCAACGTGACCTTTATTCCTAGTATGTAAATGTATATGGAATTTGATATTTATTAAGGTCGCTTTTTGGTAGCTATTCTACTTTGACACCCTATTATGGGGAAAAAATATCAAAATTAAAACTTGTTTTGTCAATACATTTTAAAGTTTTTTTTTTAAATCAAAATTTCACATATAAATGTAAATATAAGGAATCACTGTCAAGTTTGTTCGTATACCAGGGACATCAACGACAGTTGAAAACGTAGGAAGCCCTTTATACAATTCATCCTACGTTTTCAACCATCGATATCGCTAATGCCCTGGCATACCCAACAAAAATATCTACTGTAACAATATTAATTTCTAAAATGTGAAAATTGCTTCATATATTCATCTTTCGTAGAGGAAGCATGCTCAGATTGCGACTGCCTATCTAGCTCTGAAACCACTTCCGGAATTTATAACGTCACAATGAAGGGCCAGCATGTCGAAGTGTATTGTTCTTTAGAAGGAAATTTGGCGTGGACGGTTTGTACATCAAACTTTTAAGAATCAATGTGATTCATCACACATTTTTGAATAAAATTTTTTTAGGAGTGACCAATAAAAATTTTCTGATCGTGAGAATTCTAACCATGTTATACAATTTAGTTAATATAATCAGTACATATACAACTTCGTGAGAGAGCAAGGAGGAAAAATTTTTGTGACTTATGTCTAAATACATGTGGATTGAAGACTAACTCAATCTGGTGGATTCATGTTATTAACACAAATAAGGAATAATTATTCGAAAAATATGGCATTATGCCCCCCTCAAAGGGACGAGACGAAATGTTAAAGGGTATATACTAGAGTTCGGGATGTCCGTCCGTCTGTTTTGCTTTAGGGTACTTATCTCTTATCCGCAACTCCTCTTATACCTCTGAATGGAATTTAATGAAACTTTCACAGAATATTTGCTATATAATGCCATTGTGACCTCTTTATTTACTTTTTGATCGGACACATAATTCGGGTTTCCCATGGCAAATCAATGGACACTGCCATTCTTTCTATATAATTAAGGGTACCCAATATCTTACCCTCAATCCCTCCAAAACCACTGAATAAAATTTCATGATACTTTTATTGATTCTTTGTTACATACTGCCATTGTACACTTCCTATTTTTCTTTTTGTTTATAAATATTTATTTCCTGTAGGATTTATAGTAACACTGGACTTGTTAACCATAATCATATGGAGGCAGGGGTATCATTTAGTGAGCTCAGTGCTCGCAGTACTTCTAGTTTAAATCAAAGTACTGTGAGTACTGAAAGACGGTGGCATGAATGATTTTGTTTGTTTAATTAACACCCCTTTCGAGAATAACATTTTTAGAAGCGAAGGATATTTTTCTGGCTAGCAATTACTGCGACACGGGATCTCAATCTGAATTAAGGGTCGATAACCATGTCACACATTGGGAGTCGAATCCGCGACGTAAGTCATGGACTTCTTCAGGCCGTGAGTCCAAAGCAAACTCGCTACGTCAAATGGCGACTGGCAGTATATAAGAAAAAAATGTTTTAAGATTTTGTAAAATATGGAAATTATAAAAGTTTATTTCAATTTTTCACAATATCTACCTGTATTTTAATATATAAATTTATATTTTTTGTACTAAAAAGTAAAGTGTTATGAATTCTCACTGTAATCTAAAATTGTTACTATCTTATAACAATTTTTATCAAAAAACATAGCAAACTTCAAATAGGTATATGCATATATAAACAATTGCAAATTATAAGATTTCATTTAAATGTGTTGTGTCGCCTTACGACACACGATGATAATGTCAAAATGTCTAAAGCAGTGTCAAGTTTCCTCTTTGCTAAAAACAAGTTGGATAATTCCGACTTAAATTAAGGAATTTCTTTGATTCACATAGTTGAGTCTCCCTTAATTCTTCAAATAAAGCCAGAAACCAATCTCGCACACAAATAGGACCTTGTGAAGATTTATTAATAAGTACTAAAGTTATGGACAATATTTTTACTATCATTAAACTAAAGAATCTTATACCGGTATAATATTCTAATAATTATGCAATAACCCTGCGAATCACTGCGCAATGCATATTTACTGCTTTGTGAACACACCAGAAGACTGACCTAAATTCAGCCCACTAAAATCGCATAAAATCCTAATACCAGTTTTATTTCATGCACATGTATTTGAGTGTACTTTTTCGTACACCCTTTAAAGGGTATATTTATTAAAGGCACGTTATAGACTTTCTATAAAATAGGAATGAAATATGTGGGTAAATTGTCCGTTATAGTCTTTGTAAATATTTTATAGCTTTGACAAATTTTTATCCGTTGAGTCGTTTTTGTGTCCGAGATAATCAGACAAAGTCTTATTTTTAAAAACTAGAATGGTAATAAACTTAGCAAATTTATGGCATTCCAACAACCGTTTTATTAACTGAGTAAGATGTAGTGATCCCGTGTGTTGTTTAGCAATTACTAGTAATAATTACTAGTATTTGATTTCGGTGTTAGATAGTGAAACAATCATACAATTAAATCTTCAAATAATTTTCAACAATTAATTGGTAATTTTAAAACAATGTGCGTACGAAACTGATTTTTCGAACATGTTAGAAAAAACGAAAAAAATTGTACGAATTGACATCTGTAGTTTGATTACGAATATACGAGTCGGTTGGTGTACGAGTTAGTTTAGTTCGGCGTAACTCAGGTGGCAGAGGATAGTTTTTTTTTGCAATCAAAACGTTTGACTGACGGTTTACTTAATATTGAGCTGCTTTAAAAATGTGCATTGAAAAATTTTAAATTCCCTCTACATGTAATAATAGTATGATGTAGTCCCTTGAGAAATTTTAAGATTTTAGGAATAAAACATGTACAACTTACACAATGAGCCCTAAAGATGGCACAGGGACAATCTCAAAATTTCATGTGAATCAAGCCTATTTTCACTATTTCGCCGCAGCTGCATCTGCTTCCAGGCCCGTGCGCCTGACCTAAGCTACCACACAAATTGCAGAATAACATTTGTACATACCAATGAACAGCAAGAGATGATGGCTCAACCACCTCGTTTTCAAGCTACAATTCATCCTGTGAACCCACCCGCTTTTCTGGTGAAATACCGGTAGAGCGAGTTTTGAGCTTAGTTTCGTATTTCTAGTCCATATCCCATATACAGTAGTAGTGACACTAAAGTGTCATATTTCAATAAAATACACAAGGCCACCAGTTTCCTCCAAATGCACCCATAAAATATTCTAGCTATAAAATTACCTATAATATGCATTCAAACCTCAGGTTTCTCTATTTTTCTATTTTTTGACGGTACTTTATTCGAAACTATCCGCTGCCACCTTTAAATGAATATTCATGAGACGAGAAATATTGATAACGGCAAATATCAGGAATTAGGCTTTGTATCCATCAACGAAATGTCTCTGAAATAACTTGAAAGTATTTGTTAACTATGTAAATTTTATTTTCAAACATCGAAATAAGTCTACTTTCATTATTTTCACTCTGCAAAAATCGCCGCTAGGGTCCCCGTGTGTTTACACAGACCAATCGGCAATCCTCGGCTGACTCCGCTACGCTCCATTCAAACCTCGGATGTGATTGGTGGAGGAATACGCAACAGATCCTTACATTTCTCCGCCGGAAAACTGCCTTATCACTCATTTCATATTTCGCTCTGCATAACGTTCTTCGAAAATGTTTCTTAATTTGTGCAATTCTTTATCGTAAACAGGTTTTGATTACATCCTCATGTTAAAAGGCTTTGAAAGCAAGAAGAAACTGTTGAGTGTGCCAAAAAATAACTCCGATCTCAAAAGTGTGACATTTGAAAGAAATTCAAATAAGATCACATGACTGAATCAGCAAGATGGTAGATCACCGTTGACGTCCGAGGTTATGTGCGAGGTACGAGTCATCCGAGGATCTCCGAGTGTACACAGACCAGCAGCAATAGCCTGTGGCTATATATAGCCACCGTCTAAAAATGGGTGTCTGTCTAACAACTTGTTATAAAATTGTGTCCATTGACTTGTTTGATTGATTGATTGAGCTGTTTCAATGCCCCGGCGCAAGGTCAGTGATTTTTTGGCCATGACTCTCGATACCTTGATTATATATCCTGCTTGAAAAGCAAGGGGGGGGGTTATATAGTAATGGGAGTGTCCGGCCGTCCGTTACGTTTTGGGGTACCCATCTCCTATCTGCAACTTCTCTTGTAACACTGAATAAAATTTTATGAGTCTTTCAAATGTAATTTTGTAACATATTGCCAGTGTGACCTCCTTGTATAATTTTTGATCGGACACATATTTCGGGTCTCCCAAAGCAGAACATGGATTTTGCCATTATAATTATATTGGAGGCGAAGGTATCATTAAGCGAGCTCAGTGCTCACAGTACCTTGGGGTTTGTAATGAATTTGGTTGTGAGTTAGGTTAGTTATTGCTCATGACGTTACAAAGTAGCAATATTTTTAGTCAACATCGAATCTCAAAGAGCAAAATTTCTTAGCTATAAAACAATAGAATTATATACACTGTATTAGGTTATAATTAATGAATTCATTTGATTGATATGTTTTTTAAAAATAATTATACAAGCCAGATCAGTGCATTGAATTCATCTTTACATTTATTATTACCAATGCAGGTTTTTCAGAGAATGCTTGGCGGATCAGAAGATTTTAGTAGGCCTTGGTCAGACTATGTCAGAGGTTTTGGGGATTTGTTGCAAGAATTTTGGCTAGGTTTGTATTGGCTTAGAAAATGAACGCCTTTTCGCTATAGAAAGCAAGTATTAGTATCAAACTTTCAGTCAATAATACATGTATGTATATGCTTTGGACTATGTGTAGTGGTGTAAAGACGAATAATGATCCCCATAGAATAATGACCAGAGAGACAAATAATGACCCCAACCGTAGAAAAATTGATTTTTTTTTTTTCGAAAAAGAGACCTAGGGATAATTGTTTTTATATGTACATCCTATAAAAAATTGACCCCCGTTGAAGTATGACCCCTTTTCCAACAGAGTGATACGTAACAGGTCACACGTAAATGGTTTTTTATGTCCTTTTGAGCGATACTTGACAAACATGACCCTGGTCATTATTCTAGGGGGGTGGGTTCATTTTTCGTCTTTATACCAGCTATCAATGTTGCCGAGGGGAAGATAACAAACAGCTCAAAATACATTGCAATCTGAAGGCAGATTTAACACGGACCTCTTAAAACTTTAAAGGAATGATCAGGTGTCATTGATGAGAAAGCATCCCCCGTCGACCGGTCACACCTACTGTGTGCTCCATGTAATTTAATTTTACCTTTCAAACATTAAAACTCATTCTACAAAAGTTTATGTTATGTTTTCAGCTTCTTCAAAATGACTGCCTTTTTTAAAACATAAATTTCCCCTTTTTTAGGGAGTGAAATTCTTCATGTGTTGACGACAAGTGGTAACAGTATATTGCGAGTAGACATGGTTGATCATAATGGGAGAATTACTTACGCTGAATACAGTACCTTCTTGGTTGCAAATGCCAGCACCAACTACACAATTACAGCATATGGTTACTCAGGGACGGCAGGTTTGTTACTGTCGCCTTTTTTTTTTTTTAGTTTTATGGTATGATTAATAAGTTTGATTGCGTAGTACTTTGCTGTTCTGTGACGTTCTGAGCAAATCGTTTTTGGGGTTACAGCCATTACTTTATTTGAGGTTTTTTCTTGTACCTAGACTTTGGGAAAAAAAGATAAAGCCTTAAACTGACTTTACAATTATTAATAAAGGAGTTTTATGAAGAGACTTACTTTTACATTCGACAGTTGACTTTTACATTTTAGTAATTGGAGTTGGTCTCTGGTTAAATTGTAAAAGTCTGTCGTCGATTGTAAAAGTAAGTCTCTTCATGAAACTCCATATACAACTAATAAAACAATTTATTTGAATATTCAGATTATATATGTCAATATTTTTTGTATACCAGGATGACCAATTCCTTTCAGCTAGATAAATGGTATTAACTTAGCAAAATGGGCTCAGTTCACCCCATATGATACTAGATCTAGATGTTCTATTCAGAATCCAGTTTTTGATATATTTACTTAGGTAACAATTAAGCAATAATGTGTGGATGATATATAACACAAGATTGATATCACTGGAGTCCTTAATCTATTTTTATATCTATATATTATATATTTTCTGTTTTTATATTTAAGGTGATGGCGAAGGAGCTACCTGGGACACATGGACACAGATAACTAAATATTTGAGAAAATCAGAAATGAAGGTCAGGAGAGACAAATGATCGACCAAACGGGAAAGAGAGACAGTAGATAGGTTAACTTTGTTTGCATCAAAATTGGCTGCGTTGCTTGAAAAAATTAAGTAATAAAACGAAGAAAACAATGTCTGGTTCTCTGATTCTTTACACCATGTTTTGAATGATTGTTTGTCTTTCATCTCTTGATAATACCCGCAGCTCCTTGGAACAATTAAAACAAACTAAGCCAAATATCGATCCTAAAATGAGTTCTTATCATGTGTTACTTTATAAATTGTACTTTATTCTTTGTACTTTATAGATTACTAAAATTTTTGTGAATGTAAAGATTAAAGAAATTTTTTTTCCCTGAATACAATGTAGTTGGTACGTTGTATTTAAATGACAACGATTATTCCAAGTCATTATTGAAAAGAGAGATTTTTTAACATTATCAACATTCTTACGTTTTTAATTAATGATTTGCAAAGTGCATAGATTATTATGTACAGTTTTCCCCCGGAATTGGATGGGGACTTCAAGCCCACAAAATAATTCTATGCATTTATCAAGTATAATTATACCCGCACTTTCTAAAGAAAGTTCGGGTATATTGTTGTTACTCATGTCCGTCCGTCCGTCCGTATGTCACACTTTTCTTCCCTGAACTCCTCCTACATTTTACACAGTAGCTTAATCATCTTTTGGGAGATGGTTGGTGGGGTCATGTAGATGTGCAGTAAGGTTTCGGAATTTTGAATTTGCCCCGGGGGGTCAAATGGGGGTCGAAAAAAGACGTTTTTTATGCAAAAAGCCCCATCTTCCCTGAACTCCTTCTACATTTTACTCAGCAGCCTAATCACCTTTTGGGGGATGATTGGTGGTGTCATGTAGATGTGCAGTAAGGTTTCGGAATTTTGATTTTGCCCCAGGGGGTCAAATAGGGGTCGAAAAATGATGTTTTTTTATGCAAAAAGCCCCGTCTTCCCTGAACTCCTTCTACATTTTACACAGTAGCCTAATCATCTTTTGGGAGATGGTTGGTGGGGTCATGTAGATGTGCAGTAAGGTTTTGGAATTTTGATTTTGCCCTGGGGGGTCAAATGGGGGGTCGAAAAATGACGTTTTTTATGCTAAAAGCCCCGTCTTCTCTGAACTCCTCTTACATTTTACTCAGCAGCCTTATCATTTTTTGGGGGATGATTGGTGTTGTCACATAGATGTGCAGTAAGGATTCGGAATTTTGATTTTGCCCCGGGGGGTCAAATGGGGGTCGAAAAATGATGTTTTTGATGCAAAAAGCCCCGTCTTCCCTGAACTCCTTCTACATTTTACACAGTAGCCTAATCATCTTTTGGGAGATGGTTGGTGGTGTCATGTAGATGTGCAGTAAGGTTTCTGAATTTAGATTTTGCCCAGGGGGCCAAATTGGGGTGGAAAAATAACGTTTTTTATACAAAAAGCCCCGTTTTCCCTGAACTCCTCTTACATTTTACTCAGCAGCCTATTCATCTTTTGAGAGATGGTTGGTGGGGTCATGTAGATGTGCAGTAAGGTTTCGGAATTTTGATTTTGCCCTGGGGGGTCAAATGGGGGTCAAAAAATGACATTTTTTATGCAAAAAGCCCCGTCTTCCCTGAACTTCTACATTTTACACAGTAGCCTAATCATCTGTTGGGAGATGGTTGGTGGTGTCAGGTAGATGTGCAGTAAGGTTTTGGAATTAAGATTTTGCCCTGGGGGGTCAAATATGGGTGGAAAAATGACGTTTTTTGTGCAAAAAGCCCTGTCTTCCCTGAAGTCTTCCTTAATGTTACTCAGAAGCCTAATCATCTTTTAGGAGAGTTAAATATTTTGAAAATTATGTAAAACATCAACGTCAAGGGGTAAAAAAAGCATCACATGCTGGGAAACACCTTGAATTCTTATGAGTAATTAATGTATATGTCAAATGTGAGAGTCATATCTCATCTCAATCAAAGATATAAGCAAATGCAACATTTTTGAAAAGTAGAGGCTTGACCTCTTCAAGGTCAAGGTCACAGAGTAAAAGTCATGATTTATTTAGAAAGGTCTTATCACAGGTAATAATATACATGCATTATGATATGAATGCCCTAACTTTTCTCTTTCAAAATGATGAATTTATAACAATTTAATTTTTTTGCAAGTAGGTCAAACTTCTAGGTCACAGGTAAAAAAAACAAGATGTGTTTGTGAAACACTATGCGCCCGGCGGCAACAAAGTTCAAAAAATCTATTTTTAGCATATTGATCACAGTCAAGGTCACAAGGTCATTGACCATGGTGTCATTAGAAAGAACTTAATCAGTGGAGTATGCATATAAATATGAAGTCCCTATCTCCTATGGTTCAAAAGTTATGGCAAAAAGTGTAAAGAGCCATTTTTAGCATATAGGTCACAGTCAAGATCACAAGATCATTGACCTTGCCGTCGTTTGAAAGGACTTTATCGATGGAGTATGCATACCAAATATGAAGTTCCTATCTCCTATGGTTAAAAAGTTATGGCAAAAAGTGTAAAAAGCTATTTTTAGCATATAGGTCACAGTCAAGGTCACAAGATCATTGACCTTGATGTCGTTTGAAAGGATTCTATTAGTGGAGTATGCATACCAAATATGAAGTCCCTATCTCCTATGGTTAAAAAGTTATGACAAACAGTGGAAACAGCTATTTTTAGCATATAGGTCACAGTCAAGGTCACAAGGTCATTGACCTTGATGTCATTTGAAAGGACTTTATTACTGGAGTATGCATACCAAATATGAAGTCTCTATCTCTTATTGTTCAAAAGTAATGGCCAAGGTTAAAGTTGACAACAGACAGACAGACAAACAGACAAACAGATAAACAGATAAACAGACAAACAGACAGGACAAAAACAATATACGCCCGGGATCTATCGATCCGGGCGCATAAAAAACCATGCCATTCTCACAGGTAAATACTAATACATAAGTTTAATATTCAGTAGATATGACCGTGATGACCAAGGTTAAATTTATTGAGACAGATGGACAGTCTGACATATAAATATACATATTTCTGTATGAATTGGGTAAAATTGGCCCAGTGGTTCTAGAGAAGTTAAAAATGTAAAAAGTTTTCAGACAAACAGATGGACGACACGTCACGACAGACGTTATATGTTAAGGAAACCAGAAAAGCTCAAATGAGTGTTTTGAAAGGGTTAGAATATGGTTGCAGTATTTGAAAAGCTGTTTTTTTTCATGCAGAGATATGCATGACCAACATATTCATGTTTTATATTTTCTTTAGTAATTTGTTTGTTTGTTGTGAATACATCTCTCTTGGAATTTTTCCTCATATGGAGACACCACCAAATAATAATGAAGACAAGATGTGTTTGTGAAACACTGATGTCCCTGTATGGAAGCCTATGGCGAAGGTTGAAGTTTCTCAAATATATGTCAAACTCAAAGTTCAAGGTCAAAGGGTTCAAATTGTTAGTATCAGAAGAAAGTCTTGTCACAAGGAATGCACATGTGAAATAAAGAAATCCCTGGTAATTCCTGTTCAAATGTTAATTGCCAAGGTTATTTTTTTTTAAGTGGTTCAAACTCTAGGGTCAAGGTCAAACATATTTATACCTGTTGACAGTTCACAATGAATACACATGTTAAGCATGAAAGCCCTAGCACCTATTGATCAAAATTTAGGCCAAGTTTAAAGTTTGGTATTTTTCTTGTAAAAATGTGTATCCTAGGTCAAGCGATTTCAGGTAAAAATTAATGGTACCCAAATAAAAGGTCTTAATTGTCACAAGAAATAAACCTATAAAATGTAGAAGCCATTTGTATAGCCCATCCCACTTAAAACTTATGGGTAAGGTTATAATTTCTGCAGACAAATAGACAGACATAATATAAACACAAGAAACAAAATATGTATAATTAGTCAAATGGAAAAAAATATACAATTTAATTGGAATCACAAAACAGATTGTTATTTCAGGGACAGGGAGTGGGTAGGGAGATTGGAATCCCCCCCATCCCCCCCCCCCCCCCCCCCCCTGGAATTTGCTTTGTTATTTAAACAAGACTATATACTGAAGCAAATAAAAAATGACTTTGGACATCCTCCCCCTAACTGAGAAAACATTGACCACACTATCATTGTTTTTATTTTGTTTATTTGTTAATTTTCAGTTTTTTTTTTCTCCTGCTTGTCAGGAAATTCTGGGCTGGAAATTTTTTGACTGAGATGTGAACCCCTCTCCCTACTCCCGAAAAAAATTCTGGATCCGCACCAGTATTGGCAGTAACTGAATGTCACATCGACAATGGCAGATAACTTCACAATATGAAATTCGTCTAGTCAGTGACGTAACAACTTGTTATACGTCACTGGTCTAGTGTGGCATGCGATGATCTTTGACCCTTTTTGAACTTTAACCTAATCGTTTGGGTTTATTTTACTCCCCACTATACTTAAACTTGTACTTACCGACTGCCATACATGTTTGTCTCGTCAACTTCATTATAAATCCAATTATAACACAAAATGAATTAATCCAATGCACACCAGACTGCAGCCATTTGCTAATTCCATTCGACAAACCTTCGTCGATTCCGTCACCTTATCAGATGAAGTGGGAATCGGCCGAGGTGTGCCAAATGGTGTTTAATCTAAAAATATGATAATGGGTGACGCAACGTGATGTGATGTAGAAATTTACATGTTAACATGTATAGTACAAGAACAAATTTTAAATTAATTCATAACAAACGATGTTTTAACAAAACTTTTCCATCTAGCCTATTCCAAACAGTATGTGCTGTGTGATTGTGGTGTCGACGGGGGGATTAATAAATTTAAAAAGGTCCTATTATGAGCAAAACATTTATCAAAATCTAATTTACATCATTAATAGAATTCAAACTGGTATATAATGAATTAAGCATGTAAAATAAATATAAGAGGTTCTGAGTTATAGGTCACAGGGCCGGTCTGAGAATTTCATACTCAGTTTGATGAATACATGCAAATCATTGGTGTCGGAAGCAAATTCAAAGTGGGGGGGCTAGGTGTAAAAGAATTTTTTTATACCTTCTAAAAAAAACCTGACAAGCAAAAAAAACAAAAACAAAAACAAAACGAA